TGTTGTTGTTGCTGTTGTTGTTGTTGTTGTTGTTGTTGTTGCTGTTGTTGCTGCTGCTGTTGTTGTTGTTGTTGTTGCTGTTGTTGTTGTTGTTGATGATGAGGATGTTGATGTTGATGCGGATGATGATGGTGTAAATGGTAATGTTGTTGCTGGGTTTTTTCTGCCTTTTCTTGTTCTACTAACTGACTTACTGATAAAAAAGACGATCCTTGTGCCGAATGTGGAACACTTTGTGTACTCAAAACTGTGTGGAAATCACGTCCAAGAACATTTTCTTCTTTATCTCTGATTAATTCTTTATTCTGTTCTACCGAAATTCTTGGCGGTACTTGTCCAAGTAAAAAGTTTTGCTTCTCCGGTACATTTGTTCCTAGATCCAAATCACTTACTAATGTTGACAATGTAGAAGAAACGACATGCTGATCTATAGCTTTTATATTCTGTTGTCCAAGATTCTGTTCTACATTATGAACAGGATTTTTAGTTGGTGACCAAGAAAAAGGTTGCTCCTCTGAATAAAATGCCTCAGTAGGCCTTTTTTGCTCACTTTGCAACATTGATAAATTAGAAAAACTATGCGCCGTTACATCATAATTATTGTAAAATTGATTTGGAGTACTTTGATTGTAGGATGGTGTTTGAGCGAAAAGATTGTTTTGACAAAATTCCAATTCTTTACCGATTGGTGGAAAAATAATATCTGTAATACTTGTATTATGTTTAAATTCCGGTGTCATCATCCAATTAACTGGAGCTCTAATTGTATGTTGTTGTTGATTGTTTTTTAATTTGTTACTACTTTGTTGCTGTTGTCTATGTTTGTTCACATCGCTATTGTAAGTAGTACTTCCCTGTTGTAACAAAGGTACCTGAGTTTGATTTAAAAGCTGATATCTATGTTGACCATGTTGTTGTATTTTATCAACATATTTAAAATTAGCTCCAACATAAGTTTCAATCGAATATTTCAATTGCGTACTAATTTCTGGTACATCAAAATTAATATGAGAATCATAGCTTGATATTGGATATGTTGATTTATCTTGTTTAGCAGATAAGCTTTGATGATTCTTTTGTCCATGTTGTGATGCTTGTTGTGTTTGCTCACTTATGCTGGAATATTCTGTTGGTATATAATCAGAATTTATTTCATATTTTGATTTACTTTTATTTTCCGTACTAAATTTGTAATCATTGTTATTTGATGTTTGAGTCTGATTTTGCAAACGATTTGGTTTAGTTGTTGATGATGATGCAGTAGATTGTAAGTTTCTATTTTTTGAAACATCTACAAAGGGTGTCTTTTGTGTATCCACATCTGATTTCATTCTTAATTTATCAATACCACTTACATTTGGATGAGTTGAATAAGTATCAGTTGTTAAAACATCAGAAAAGCCTGAATTTTCTTTGTGCAAGGAGACATAGTTATAATTTTCACAAATCGTTTTTCCATCTGCATTATCGTTCGGGTGAGATCCCTGTTCAAATTGTACTGGATTATTATTACCACATCCACCAACTGGTGAAAATGTTGTCCATGAAAGTATACTGAAATTGGATGAATTATGAGCAACTGTTGTCATTGATTTTGTATTATTATCTGTAATAGTACTCTGTTCGTAATTGGATGTTGCCACAAAGGAAGGCATTTGTTGTTGAGTATACAGCAACGTAGGTGTATCTTGAATGAGAGATTTACTAGTTATAGAATTTGTTGTATTAGTACTCACTTTTTTAATGTCTTTATTAGAAAAAGGAGTATAATTTGATGTGTTATTTTTTTCTTGAAACATTGTAACGACATTAGGATTTACATCAGCTTGATTTGGTTGCGTAGTTATTGATGATTTAACTCCATATGAAAATGTTTGCCCAAATGGATCAATATCAACTTTTTTTGTAGATACATAGTTTGTATCACGTCTTTCGTCAGAATGTTCTTGCTGTTTTGTTCTTAAAACAGTGTCTAATTTTGTACTTTGTTCTATGTTGTTATTGCTCTCATTATTAGAATCTTTATTTAATTTTGTATAATTTTGATTGTGAGATGAACGCTCATTTTCATTTCCTGAAGAATATGATATAGAATTTTTGCACGATAAACTTTTGTTTTGATCCTTGCAGTATTCAGTATGAGAATGCTGATCCATGTGATCTTTTTGATGAATATCAAATGTCTGTTGTGAATTATGTGATACAGTAATACAATTTGATTCTTTTGTATGTGTATTATAAACAGATTGCATTCCTTGAGAAGAAAGAATTGGGGTTGATGGATCTTTAGTATTTGCAGTATAGTTTTGTTGTAAATTTTGAGATGGTGTAGGAAGCGATTCATGAACTTCACCATAATCAAGACGATGATTAGTTACCAATGTAGTATTAATGAGAGACTCTTTATTCTGAGCAACATAAGCTGCATGTTGTCGTTCTTGTGAATCTTTTTCTTTTATTTGTGGCGTATAATCTGTTTGTAATGATCCTAAACTTGTAGATGATGAAGTAGTCGTGGTTGTGATATTGTTGATGCAAGAAGCAAGTGACATTTGGGATATGTCACTCATGATATTTCGCGATGATCCGATGTTACCTGAATCTTCTGCTGTAGATGTATCCATAAAAGTAGATGTATTTTGTTGCAATGTTCTTTGGTTGCTATCTGCTATAGTTGGATAATTTGGCAAAAAACTTTGCGTGTTAGAATACTGAACATTATTATAATCTGAAGTTCGTATTGCAGGATTCCTGTCGATACTTTTATTTATTATTGACGTGGCAGTAATAAGTGCCTGAGATACTGTATTTTCGGTTGCAATAGATTCTGTGTTATTCTGAAATACTGTAGTTGTTTGCTTTTGACAATCTTTATTTGTACAAGTAGTATTTGATGTGACCGATGATGAATGTACATTAGAATATGTGGAAGATGCATGGGTATAAGTATTAGTTAAACCTGTTGATTTTTCTAAAATTGGTGGTAATGTAGATTGTATAACTTTGTATGGTTCCTTAAGTGTTTCCTCACTTACAATTTTTGGTACAACTCTTGTCGTCGATGTACAGACATTAGGAAGCATGATTTCTGGATGTATATTTACGCTTGTAGGTGTAACAATATCTTTTTTGTCCTCACATGTTGGTTTTAAACATTTATCGGTTACCGTTTCAAAGATTGGGGATGACGATACTCTAACTTTGAAGCTATTTGGTTCCATACTACCAATCTGTAAGAGCATAGGTGGTGTTTGACTATGATATTTAAAATCTTCTTTCATTTCTTCATCAAGAACTTCAGTTTTTCCATTTAAAGATGACACTAGTGGAAA